AGACCACAGATGCTTTACATTTGAATAGAACACATATTAATCAAGGAACGTTTTCATCATTAATTGTTTTTGCAAATAGGGTAGCATATTACCATCCAAAAATGACATCATGGTAAGTCCCGTAGTTAACAGCTCAAGTTTTGTATATAGTGTTCACGTACAATGCCCATGTACTGTATTTACACGGTATGGGGGTTCTGCATTTGTTCTGGCTAGCTGCATTACATCACAAAGTTATACCAAAGCCAGATTCACTTTAGCATCAGTCCAGACTCAACCAACCAACCAACCAACCAACCAACCACTGTGCTTCATCCATATCCTCACCTCGTCATTTCACAAGCCACAGAGCCAGGATAAACAAATCCAACCAATCTCAAGCGTGGAAATCGCTCTCTAAATAACATCTGTGAATGTAGAAATGTATTATCTTCACCCTCCAAATCCAATTTATTTCATGCATATCTTACCATCTAAATTGAATACATCACGTAGCTTGTGCGGGAAATCACTTTCAAAAGACTTTCCTTATCTAATCGCCAGGCCCTATCTTATCCCGGGCATCTAGCTTTCTAACCAGGAAGAGGCGTCGAAGTGTGCAGGGCTGTGCTGAGGCTTGTCTTGCTGTGTTTTCATTGGATTCCTCAAACAGTGTATTGGCCATATTCAACCAAACCACCGTAACTTTGAAAAGGACTGTTAATAGAAATGTACAATGTTAAGATTTTTAATTAAGGGCTATTATCAATTAATTATGGCCAGATAAACTGAGTGCAAATATAAAGGAAATTAATATAAAGGGGCTGTTTGAAAACTATAATTTCAGATCTGGAAAGAAAAGAAATGATCTCATTGTGGAATTATTTCTTACTTTAAAGGTGACCTATCATGCAAAATGCACTTTTGTACGTCTTTTATACATGAATATGTGTCCCGTTGTTCCAGGGAACTCACCAGGTATCAGAAAACACAACCCTCTCTATTTTCCTCCATACCCAAATCTCTAAAAAAGGGGCTGCAACGGATCTGATACAGACTGATCCAGATTTGAACACTGTCCTGACGTCAGGATGGTGGCGCTACGGCTATTGGTCAATTCTCCACCTATCAGGGGAATGAGAGGTTGGGCCACGGCCGGCCATTGCCGCTCGAAAGCGCTGGAGACGCTGTAGTATGAGACTGCCAAGGCACACAGGGGGATAGGGCCCTGTAAGTGGCGCTGTAGTCTGCCACAAAAGCAGCGAAGAAGACTTCCCTTGCATGGTTGCCATGGTTGCCCTTCTGTTTATTCTCTCCGCTGTGGCTCTTTTTCTCCCTCCCCGAGGCAAGCGTTTGCGCCTCCTGCTTTAAAACAAATGAATAATGACTCTATTTAATCATATGTAAGGGATAATGTGCAGCGACGCGGTCATTATGGGGAAAAGAACACAGACAGGCTAATCAGGAGCCCGACGCGAAGCGCTTATTACATGGCCACATTCTCAACAAAGTAACGACATGACTCCTAATATTAATTGAAATGCTTTTTATGGATTTAGAAAATGATTTTATTGATTTAAAAATAGTTGTATGTATTGATTTCAATTGACATGCATCCGCTAAGAAAAATAGTCCGTTGTTACTGTTTGAACTAACGTAGCAACGGCAGGAACTGCTTCAATAGTGTTTTTGAGGAGCTTTTTGATTACAGATTTGAAAACATCATTGCTTGCTTTAAAAGTAGCATAATTCATTATGTCAAACCTTGGAAACTATCTAGATATCCGTGCCCTAATGCCAAAGTAACTGCCAACTCCCCTCTCCTGCAGGGGGGCGTGGTCAGTTGCAGCTCACAGAATCAGTCCCCTACAAAAACAGGGCTGGAAAGAGCAAATAGAGCAAAATGAGGCATGGCTAAAATGCAGGATCTGTTTGGTATTTTGAAAAAAAAACTATATTTATATACTTTATATAGGTATGGCCCTACAATATATTTTTCAAATATAGCATGATAGTTCCACTTTAAGTTAAGAAGTGCTCTCTGACCAAGTGACAAGTTTAAATCAAGGGACCATTGTTTTAATAAAGGGACAAATACAGTAGACTTCAAAAACAACCATCTTTTATCTTAACCTATGGTGCCTTTACACCGGACGCAAAAAACATTTGCATGTCAATGCAAAGACGCGAATAGATGCGATTTGCAATGGTGTGGCCAAACTCGCGTGAGTATCACGATGTGACAATTTGCTTTGAGTCCGCTGTGAACGCACCATTAACCTATAGAGGGACGAGTATGTCGATTTTGAACAATTCTGCATGGACTCCTGCAAAATTCTAGAATTTAAATGTATTTATAAACACTAACGACCAACTGACAGAATACTCGGACAGTAAGGCTTACGTACAGTTAGAAATAACCAGAAACCGCTTGAGAGGGCAGGTGAAAACACAAGGGAAAAAGGCAAATAAGACACAGGTAGAAAGAATCAGGGCGGGGTCAACAATCACAACAGGCATTGACCATAAATTAAAGCATGACACGGGAAAAAACCTCTCAAAAATAAAACAGGAAACACAAAATCAAACATCATGAAACCCTGAATGTGTGTGAATGGGTTAAGGCTGACTTGTATGTAAAAGTGCTTTGGGTGGTCACAAACACTGGAAAAGCACCTTGTTGGTACAGTCCATTTATATTGATGAGGATGATAAGCCATCTTCTTCCAGTGTCAATGATACTGAAATATGAACTTTACATTCAAAATGTTCCAAAATCGTATTGCATGAAGACTAAAGTGGCGGCCGGCCCAGTAGGGGTCAGTAGGGGCGCCCGGCCCCGCCCCCCCCCCCCCCCTCTTCCCCACACTGTTTCGATTGTCATAACTTATTTTTTTTTTATAAAATTATAATTTAAAAATAAAGTATAATTATTTTAATGTAACTTAGTAATATTA